ATGCCTGTGCCATATAAATGACGTCACAAACAAAATTACAATCATCGCTTGCCGAACATGCGTCGTAAAATAACGCCTCTTCAAAAAGCTTATGCTTTAGTGCAATTKGAAACCGGGAATTACAGCATAAGGCAGGTTRCAAGGAAGACGAGGATTTCCAAGAGCTCTGTGCATAGAATATCAAAAGATCGAAGSAACTTGCTACATAACAACGGCGTGTCTAAGGTCAAACGTAAACCCGGAAGAAAGCCAAAAATTAATGAATGACAGAAAAGGATGTTGCTTAGAAGCATAAAAAGACTCCGACAACGGAATGTTAACTTCACGTCTACAGATTTGCTGAGGGATGCAGGATTAGATCCCGCTATAGCAAGCCGGAGGACTATAACACGGTATTTAATCAAGTGGGGGTATTTTTTCATGCAATCTCGTAAGAAAGGACTACTTACAGACAAAGAGAAAAAGCTACGCTTGAAACATGCAAAGGCCATGAGGGGTATATTGAAAGAGTGGCCAGACTATTATACGCAGCATATATCGTTTTAATTGGACGGCGTATCTTTTGTACACAAGTACAATCCCATGCTCGAGGCAACAAAACCCAAGGCAAGAGTGTGGAGAAAGAAAGGAGAAGGCCTTAATATCACAGCAAAGGGAAGCAAAGAATTAGCTGGAGGGCGGAGATTTCACCTTATCGTAGCGGTTGCATATGAAAAAGGAGTTRTGCTGTGTGAACCATACGAACAAATGAATGCACATTTTTTTTAAACTTTTGTTAAAGATCATTTTAATTTAACATTTGCAAAAGCTGGTCCTAAAGCAAATCAAAGCCGAATATTTGTCATGGATAACGATCCCAGTCAAACAAGCATCATGTCTATGCAAGCTATACATGACATAGAGGCTGATTTTCATCGCCTTCCAAGCCGTTCTCAAGACTTGAATCCTCCTGAGAATGTTTTGCATATTGTAAAGGAAAAACTTGACAATGAAGCTATAGAGCTAAAAATTGATCACGAGACATTCGATCAATTTAAAGAGCGTGTTTTACGTTGTTTTCAATCAATAGACCGATCTTATATCGACAAAACCATTGAAAGTTTACCCAAGAGCATAATTAAACTCAAAGGAGGTCGTACAAAATATCAAACAGTAATCGTATATCTATTTTCTATACTCGGTTATGAATTCTATTATACCAGGATTGGAACTTTATACATACGGGCACTCAAGTATTGCAACAATATCAACTGTT